ACACACGCTACAATGGACTACACATGCTACACTGGACTACACATGCTACACTGGACTTAACACGCTACAATGGACTACACATGCTACACTGGACTACACATGCTATACTGGACTGGACTACACATGCTACACTGGACTACACATGCTACAATGGACTACACATGCTACACTGGACTACACATGCTACACTGGACTTAACACGCTACAATGGACTACACATGCTACACTGGACTACACATGCTATACACTGGACTGGACTACACATGCTACACTAGACTACACACGCTACAATGGACTACACATGCTACACTGGACTACACATGCTACACTTGACTCGACTACACATGCTACACTGGACTACACATGCTACAATGGACTACACATGCTACACTGGACTACACATGCTATACTTGACTCGACTACACATGCTACACTGGACTACACATGCTACACTGGACTACACATGCTACACTGGACTACACATGCTACACTTGACTCGACTACACATGCTACACTGGACTACACATGCTACAATGGACTACACATGCTACACTGGACTACACATGCTACACTGGACTACGTAATACTATATGCTACACAGGACTACACATGCTACACTGGACTACATATGTATACACTGGACTACACAATCATGCTACACTGGACTACACATGCTACAATGGACTACATACACTACACTGGACTACACAATCATGCTACACTGGACTACATATACTACACTGGACTAAACAAGGGTCACAGCCTTACCCGTTGTCATCCATGGTAAAATGCATCAGATTTACCTGTTGTCTTTAAGACTTCGTTGGCAAACTCCTGACTGACAGTCCTGAGGAAAGCTGCACTTCTGTCGTCCACAAACAGACCCACAAAACTGCCGGAGGAGTAGAAGTCCAGCGTGACCTTGTCTGGGACCTCCCTGCCCCTCACCCTGCCTGCCACAGTTAACACGGCATGTACCACCTTCGGGACTACAGAGTCTGGGACCTGGTAACAAGGCAAGATGGCAAATAGGTCATGAATAGCTTCATCAGGTTAGTAAGTTTCAGTGACTGTCAGTCACTTTCTTCGGGACAATTCTGACTGGTTCACATTGTACTGTAGCACAGGTGTCGCTGCTACAGAATCTGATGCATTCCCTAATGTTTACATATCTACACATTACATGTACAGGGAACTGTATCTACAAACGTACGGAAGTATAAACAAAAGCAGTTATGGAGAACAGACACCACAATGTAGTTCCAAATGTACAAGAGTGCTGCAGTGCAATGTGAACCAGTCAGAATTGCCCTGAGGAAGGTGACAGACGGTCACCGAAATGTCGGCTGTGAATAAAACACTTGGCTGTGTAAAAAGAGTCTCTTTACTAAGAAACTTAGGCCACACCGACTTAATTTTATGGATGACATCCTCAGAACGCCCCTAAAGTAGTGTGCGTGGGCGAATAAAAAAAAAATTCCAGCCAAAAATAAAAATGCTTCTAAACCACAGGAATACAAAGCTGGTGAATTTGCAAATGTGAATTTGCGGCAGTATATAGCGACGTACACGACAAGCCGGCCTTTTGCGGAATTTATGAATCGGCACTGTACACATGTACTGAGTTCTTGAGTCGTGGAGCTTTCGTAGCCCGGCTCCGTATTGTCGCTAACTACCATGGACTACCCAGGTCTAGAGCCAGGCCAGAGCCGTGGACTTGATCTTTTTTTTTAATTTTTAATTTTTTGAGAACAGGCAAAAATCAATGCGCGCACGGATGTCATCCATAATTAAGTCGGTGTGGCCTTACCAACCTGATGAAACTATTCACGGGTGTTAAAAATGTTGAAAATGTAATATACTTCTACTTCTAGCAATTAGTGTAAGGCCACACCAAGTAAATTTTATGGATGACGTCCGCGCGCGCATTGATTTTGGCCTGTTCCTAGAAAAAAAAGCAAGAAATTCCGCTTCCTGTAACTATGACCAAAGAGTCACGACAGTGCCGCAAATAGGTTTGTACGGACCAAAGCATCAAGCAAGGAAATCATGACTTCCATTAGGAATTCAGTTTGGTACATGCTGCCACATTTGAAGAAACTTGCTGACCGCTCCATCCATCTCCCCAAACTCACAGGACGACAACTGCTGTTCCACCTGATTTATTGCTGTTTTGATGATGAATAAAAGACTTCTTGTGTCACCTCATCCAATTTGTGTCCTAACATTTGTCGTCTCTTAGTATATTTCTAATCTAGGCATCTTGTTTTTTAGGGCCCTTCTTGTTTTTTTTTCACCCTCTCGCATTAGATTTAGGGTCTCCAAAGGACGTCATCCATAAAATTTACTTGGTGTGGCCCAATATAGTAGCTGCCCATGATGGTACGACTAGTCGTTTTGGTAGAATTTTTATTTAATTGAGGTCTTACACATCTGCAAGGACAGGCAATACTGTTAAATACATTGCACAAGAATAAAAGATCTGTTTGTTTGTTTGTGATAACATGTTTTGACACCTCAATTGTTGTTTAATAAGGCTTGTGACCTCAGAATTTGAAAATGAAAGAATTTTTATTTTTGTCCGCCTTTTTTCGCCAGCCTTGTTTTTTTTTCGTTCGCCCGCCTTATTTTTTTTTTGCCCTATCGCATTAAATTTCGAGTCTGCGGAGGATGCCATCCATAAAATTTACTTGCTGTAGCCTAAGAAGAAACAGCCAAGTAGTAGGGAAAGCAGTAGTTTGTCAGGCTAGACCGTGTGAAGGTAAACACTTATGCATTTGCTTGGCAAATGTTACCTCTCTATTTCCTCTTTTTTATTCCATCCTTTAAAATGCCGAACATGGGTATGATTAGTAAAAACCAAGGAGGCTGGCAGAATCTCCTTGGTAAGACCATTAAGGCCATGTTGATTTGATTATATGGATGACATCCTCCGGGAGCCCCAAAACTGATGCGCGCGTGCGAATAAAAAAAAAGTTTTGCAAAAAAAAAAAATTATGAAATCTACGTGGTCATGAGGGTTGAGCAAATGGCACAGAATATGGTTTGGCGAATAATCTAGTCTTCAAATTCATTTCTTTACAATTTCGTCTTTTTTCGTTTGATTTTGGCATTCTACGACATTGGTATAGTTTTTATTTTTTTATTTTTGGAACATATGGTATATTTTTGCTCATTTTGCAACTGTTTTGTACGATTTACAGTATGGTTGAAAACTTTTTTTTTTGGAAACGGCCGAAAATTCATGCGCGCGTGGATGTCATCCATATAATCAAATCAACATGGCCTAAGATCCAATTAAATATTTAACAGTTCGTGTTTTCGGTCCTGTGAGGTCCAGCACAGTACTCAACAATTAGATACAACTTAGTAGCAGTAAACTGACAAACAAACAATCTGATTTGTTTGTTTGTTTTCCTTGTTATTTTCATTCTTTTGTTTTAATCGTTAATTTTTATGTTAATTATCTAATAAGTTTACTCTGTAACAGCGACCTGAATTACATGTATAAGACTTTTGTTTAATTTCTTTTTGTAGATGCAAAGGAGTTTACACACTCCAGTTATTATTTCTGTGTCTTGATTTGGTTTAATTAATCAATTATTTCATTGTTTAATTTTGATGTTTAATTCAAATATGTTTTGTTACCTTTGTTTGGGGTAGGCCTTTTGAAAAACCACCCAGGTTCCTGGCCTACCCCGCATATTCTTTGAATGTTATTATTTGATCATGAATTTTTTTTATGTATGTGCAAAGAAAGAAAGAAAGTACAGGCCAATGACCTGGGGTTATTTACCCTTGTCGGAAAACAAAAGCCAAGATCATAAAAAAATGAAATGACGTCAATTTATAATAATAATAGTTGCATGTTTCAGTAGGAAACGTAGGTAGGTAAAAGCAAACTGTGGTTTGACTTTTATGACCCCTCCAGCTCCGGAACTCATCTTGTTTTGAGGAAGTAACTTTTTTTTAAACACCGACTCCCTACTCTCCAAGCAGAGGGAATGATCGTTTTTATATATGGCCCTTTTTTTTGTCCTGATCCCCACCCGTCGGTGGCTAATGGAGCTTCTCTGGCTAATGAATACTGTCTGGCCAATTTGATACTGTCTTTTGCCACCGAGAGGGATCTGCTTGGAGATTACGACTCCGCCCATGCTCACGAGCCATGGTCTCTATTATGCTATAATCACATATTGTCAGTGTGTCAATTCTTAGAACTAAAACATTTTTACAAGTCCGAAACTAGTTCCCGTGACAAACCGGTACACGACATAACATATTTTACTGTACTTTTAAATCCTGTATGGTTAACATTTGTGACTTCTGTGTCAATCTTTACATCTTAGTAACATGGTGTAACGAATGAATAATCTTGCATGCGCCCTTTTTTGTTGCTTTCGACAGAAGGCTATGAAATCGTTTTGGTACTGTTTGGCAGATTATGCACGATAAATTTTGAAGGCATGGTCCGAGGTTCACGATTTTTGGTAGGCAGGTTGTCTTATTGATGGGCAT